GTTCGAACGAACGACGCGTGAAACGACTTACGAGGATTGCGACATGCGTCAGCCGACGATTTCTTTAATAGATTTTAAAGATCTAATCTTGGAAAGAAGGAGAGACCCAGATGAGACTTTATCACGCCATTCGGAGCCAGTCTCTTGAAGTACAGTGAAATAATAGGGTAATTTTGGGACAGACGACCATAGTTTCCGGAATTGATGGCTACAGTAAAAAACGTATTTTCCTTCGCTAAAGTAGTTCTCAAAATTTCTCTGTTGAGTAATAGGTTTTTTTTATAGGGATTTAAGGACTAATGTATCCACGCTTTTTTTATCAATTTTATATGTGTCTGAGTTTAACCAATGAGAATACAATTTTACATAATAAATATCAAATACACACCACCATCGATATCTGCAGATAGAAGAAATCTATAAATTCTTTTTCTTTTTTTCTTACCTTTCTCTTTTTCTTCTCTGGCATCAAATTTCAAAAAAATATAAATAAAAAATTAATCTTTTAATAAAGTAGGACTAATTGAAATAATTTCTGCGAACAGACAGAATACAATGCTATGCGACAAAAAAAAAACACTTTAAAGTTAATTATGAAATCAGTTAAAAATTGTCAATCCTGTCTCGGATGGCCAGGATACGCAGAGCGCGAGCAAACCGTGTAAACCTTTAAGGCAATTATAGTACCCGGCAAATATCGCACAAAAGCTCTCGGACGTTTTTTATTTGGGTTCAACAACGCCGAATTCGCATAACGCGTGCGCGCACGGCTCGTCGCAGCCGCGTAACATCCATCGACAAGCGAAATGTTTTGCCGGCCCGTTCAAAAGGATTGTTTTCGCGCACTATCAACGCTGTTGCGCGCAATAAATGGCATCGACAGAGAGACGAAAAAAAAGCTACAGGAGATCCACGAGGTCGCAGCTCGTCGTGCCGTTTTAACGAGCACGGACTGCTTGCGAAGCTGACGTGTAGCATCACGTTGTGTGCTCTGGAATTTCATGCACTTTTTCTGCATCGAGCGAGCTCAATCTCTGAGTTTTATGCTTGATTGAATTATTTACAATTCTTCTTTCTCAGAGAGACCGAAAAGAGACGGGACGAACGAGGAAGTTTATGAGGCGGGACTTTGACGAATAAATTATCTCTACATCAGAATCTCTTTTAAAATAAACATTCCAGCGGTTTTTTCAACGATGAGAACAACGCAAATGTTTTTTTGATTCCTTTTTTTTTACAGCCATATAGCTATACGTCAAAGAGATAATTGCGCTAATATACATCTTGTGTTTCTTCGTAATAAATACATTTTAAACCTCGTGAAATTATAACTACCAGCAAAATGATATCAAATGTTACTGCGCATTCTTTACGCGATGTGGAATGCGTAATAAAACATGACTGACCCCGGCGAGATATTTCTGTAATTAACGCAGGCACAATTAAGCAGTCTGTCTCATTAGTGGCTTGAGAGCTTCCAACGAAAAAATTTTTTTCTCAACATTATACAATAATAAAAATTTATCGCGGGAAAAACTTGATAAGCGCGTAAAAAAAGAGTTGAAAATTTAATAACTTTTATTTAAAAAACGTTTGTATTATCACATTAAAAGGTTTATGAAATATATGCTATTATTGGTCTGTTTTCTGTTCCTGCACTAGACTTTTCTAGAACTCTCTTTTTCGCTTTAACCAAATGTCAAACATATCTCACTTTAAGTTCCAAAAATGTACACTAGTTCAGTCACAGAAAACAGACATATTATATACTATTTAGCATAATATCTAGAAGAATAAGAAGAATAATATCTAGAAATATAATCTAGAAGAAAAAATGTATTTTTTTATATAGCGATATACATTTTAATGTATTTTAAAATAAAATTTAAAATTGATTATTTAAAAATATTTAACTGATTAAACATTTAAATAAATTAAAGGTATAAATGAAAGATTAATTGCCACATATAATAATAAGTAAAAAAGCAATTGCGCCATTCATTTTGAAATGAATACAAAAGTAAATACAAAATGAATACAAAAATTAATTTTATATAAATCTATAAATTTTTAAGTAGGCTGTTTTATGTGTATACAAGCAGAATGAAAATAGTGTGGTATTTTATCACGAGCTGGCAGTCGTAAGATTACGAAGCAAGCGAAAAGCCCATTCTGAAAGTAATGTATCTTCTATACTTCGCAATATGTGCCTAAGGAAAATCTAAAATAGAACGTGAACGAATGTGGTAGACACAGGTGCGTGTCACAAAGGCGCAATCTATTTCATCAATCAGGAGGAACAGATGCGTACTGGATCTCATACATGTATTCAAAACCTCCAATGAAATATCGCCGAAATCCCCATATTTACCGTTGTCATTGACATTTAATATCTTAAAAGCGAAGCACAAAATGCCGATATGAATGGAATATTAAACTGCGCACACTAAAAATATGAGTTTTTATCGATTTCCAGTTCATATTGTAAACCTAATTTGCATTACTCGCAAAATGTATTTGTAAGTATTTTACACCCAAATATTATATCTCAATTTTCATTGTTTTGTTTGACAATTTATAATTAAATTAAGATAATATTTTATATATCCTTCAAATAAAGTCATAAACGTAAAAGTTTTTTCTAAATTTATCCTAATATAACAATATATATAAATCGCATAATATATAAGTTCACTTATATATAAGTTTAATTATTGAAAAATTAAGTAATTATATTATCAAATTTTGATTATACTATATATAAAAGATCGTATATAAATATAAAATTCTTACTGAATATTTTTGTAATATACTGAAAAATGAATATAATAAATTGTACTTGTTGATATTATTAGCATCCTACACGAAATAAATTAAAATGGAGTTTTATATTGATTTTTATTTATAATATTAAAATTATTTTTAAAAGACAAATTTTTGCTAAATATTTTTAAATTTAAAATAGTAAATCAAATTTAGTTAATAAAATGTAAAAAAATAATAAATAATAAAAAATAAAACAAAACTATAAAAAAAAAGATCATCAAAAATACATCAAGTACATAAATGCACTCAAAGATATGCGTCATTTCTCGAAAATTTTTAGCTGCTGGATTTAAATTCTTTGTCAGAAAAATTCTATTGTCACATCTACGAGAAATAATTTAAGCGAAAAATCGGCGATTTAAAAATAAATGATTTTGATCATATTTACAATGGTATTATGATTAAGAAAATTTTGTTTTTTATCAATTTTAATTATTATCTTAAAATGCTATCTTTTACCTTTAAAATGAATTTATTGTTTCCGTATGATTTATTATCACCAAATATACATAGGTTTGAAGTTGGAGATATGTTGGATATGCTTGGCGCTGTATTGTCGCGCTATGCGTTCACTTAGCGCGAGACACTTCAAAGAGTACCCTATATGATTTTTTTTTGCATAATATGAGTCTTTTAATTATTCTGTATATAAAAATATTAAGGTAGGAATAAAAAACCAACAGTTTACGAGATGTTTCATATTTTATTCTGGCACATACTGACGTGAAATATTTAATACTTGTTAACTATTAATTTTTTGTTAATCGTACCTTAATACTTTTATAAATTGAATGAGATGAATCAATTAATATAAAGAAAATACATAGTAGCTTATCTAGAAAATTGTTCATTTTGCCTACATATTTTTTAAATAACTATGTGTTTCTTTTACATCAACTGATTTATCTCATTATTCTAAATGATAATAATACAAATTAATTACAAATAAAGTTTTGTCATATAACATATTGCTGGAACGTCATTAATGTTTTATTAATTTTAAAACTTCCTTGATCTTTCATTAAACTTACAAGATGTAAAATACAATTCTAAAAATTCACTAAATTGGACAAGTCAAGCCTACGGCATACAAATGCATTTTTTTCTGTTGAATTATTTGTGTTTCGGTACATTACTAGAATTGCTTGAATATACATTACTTGAATCAGACAGAACGCGCAGAATTTTTAATAATTTACTAAAACGCAAGCAGTTTAGCAAAAAAAAAATGCATCATATGCCGCAGGCTTGATTAATTTAACACA